AAATAGTTTCCCTCGACATTTCATCCATGTACTCAAACATTCCCATGGAATTGGTTGTAAATAGCGTTTTGAGTAGATGGAGTGAAATGGAGAAAAACACTTCCATTCCAATTCAGGAATTCAAAAGAGCTATTTCGATCATTTTAGAGTCAGCATACTTTAGGTTTAATGACGAGTATTATGAACAGATTTTTGGGCTGCCCATGGGATCACCATTGTCACCAATTGTGGCGGACCTGGTGATTCAGGACTTGGAGATTAGTATTTTTAGCAACTTGAGGGTGCACATGACCGAAACGTCTACTATGTACATTGTTATTATTGAATTATAACTTTTTGACATCTCTAGCGTGGCTGTATGCTCCTTTTTACTTAACATTATAAAAAAAGTCTTCTTATAGAAGAATCCTTAATAATATTCAAAATAATATTTAAAAAAAAATTATCTAAATTAATTAGTGTTGAGATTTGTCCTGCTACCTACATACTACGAGCAATACATGTTGTGTCGCCACTAACGCCACGTATCGGCGTTACGCGCTGGTTTCTCTGTTTCGTCCCAGTCTGGCTACGACACATGTAACGACCACGTCTGTTTATCAATATATCTTTTTGGTTCTCTGCACACACCCTGTTCTTTTTGCCTTTGCCTTCACCTGAGTTTCGTCAATAATTAGATATATATTTCTACATTTACAATAACTGTAATAGAGATGCAATACACCTAGATTTTACAGAATCACGTTACAAGTTACACTTGCATAGTATTCTCACAAAATGTAAATAAGTTTCAGTCATGTCTTGGTCAAATCAATCATTTGTTTAATCTATTTTATCGAGTTCATTTACACACAATAAACTTGAATCATGCTTAGCTCATGTAAATCCTTAATTAAATATTTAGACTCAATATACGAGAATGAAAAAGAGATAGAGAGAAAGAAATCCTCGATAAAAAATATATATAGATATGTTTTATATATTATTTTATAATAATGTTTTTATATATTATAATTATGACAGGGTTGCCATAGGGATAATGAATTTTAAAAGTTTCTGATTTTGATTTTCCAGATAAAAATGAGAAATTTCCATAATCAATATAAAATATGTCTATATATTTTTTTTCTCGAGGATTTCTTTCTATATAAAAATTGTAATATCATAAAATATGAAAAAAATTTTAACATTTAGAATCAAGGATTGTAAGAAAGCTAGCTTATATTATTAAAAACGTAAAAAAAGCTTTGTAACATAATAAAATTTGAGAATCAAATTCAAACCAATAAAAAATAAATTAATATTGGAAAAAAGAATGCGGTTATGAGAAAAAAGGGCGATCAAATAAAATTACTGAATAAAATTTAATTCTCTGTAAAAAATTTTTTATGTATAAATATGTATAAATATGTATAAACATACATAAATATTTATAAAGATGTGTAATCTTATATAAAATATGACCATATATACATCCCATATATATA